GCCTATCTGGTCAATATGACCACTCTAGGGGGCTATGAATCAATAAGTGGCAACTGATCCTATCATAGTTATGACAGTGAGTAGCAGTAGACCTGAACAATACATCCTGACAATGATTCATTCATTCATTCATTCATTCATTCATTCATTCATTCTATTTATATCCCACCTATCTGGTCAATATGACCACTCTAGAGGGCTATGAAGCAATAAGTGGCAACTGATCCTATCATAATTATGATAGTGAGTACCAGTACACCTGAACAATACATCCTGACAACAATAAACAGGTGCTGGTGTTGTGAGGATCCAAAACATGAACTCTGCCCAAACTTGGGTGTTTATTTGGGAAGCTTGTTATGCCCATTTTGACAGAGGACATAGTGATGTACAATGTCACTCTTTTTCCTTGATCATCAACTTGGTCACATGCTATGGAACTGCTGACCTACTGCCTAGGTTCCCTTACAAGTAGTGTGGAGCCCGTAAGTATTGCTGGATAACAAGATGGACCACAGCTGAAGAATCTGCCCCAAGGACTGGTGGTTGATTGATAAACCCCCAGTTTTCAAGATACCTATCTCTCTAGTGCTGGGTAGATGGGGCTCATCAGTCTGGGAAGGCAGCCCATCTAGGAGAAGGAAAACTTTGACTTCAAACCTCCACTGCCTTCTGGCTATATCCACTGATGGAAAAGGCTTCAGGAGTTAACCTCGATGCAAAATCCGGAGCTGGAGTCCTGGAGGCAATTCATGTCGTTCTGGCAACTCCTGCAACGTCTCTGGAACCAGTTGTATTCGCTCTTGCCTTTCCATTGGACTGTTTCAGTGATGTGGAGAGGGGGGATTTGCTGCTTAGGTAACAGCCTATTCTCCGTATTCTTTTACCCAGGCTTCATGCTCTGGAGAGGACACTCCAACTTCGCATACAGCATCAAAGCAAAATCAGGGAGCTGGACAGGGGACAGATTGTACAGTGGTGACTTGCTTAACAATTGCCACGCATTACAACGAATCCACTTTATGGTGATCTTTTTGCCTTTACGGCAATCTTTTTGCGATTCTAGACTTCCTGGAAAAATGCTGTTCTGTTTACTGTAAAAAGAAACTGTGGTTGCTACATAATTTTGAGTCATTTTATTGGGAATTTTCTAATTGCGGAAAGCAATTTTTCCTTTGTGTAAACAAGTTCTAAATGTTGAAGACCTACTAAAAATAATTTGAATTGAACTAACACTGTTCTGATGTCTATATACAACTCCTTCCCTTTCTTTTGTCAGAGTATCACCCTTAAGCACTGATCAGCTCTGTCAGCCATAGCAGTGTGAAACCCAGTATTACCCAAATGTGCTCTTTCTACATACAAGAGATACACATAAAAGAAGTACAAACAATGGAAGGGGCTAGAATCATTTTCATGCTACAGTTTGCCTTTTCTTCTCTGCCAAACGCTTATCATTATATGTTAAGTGTCATTTCCTGAAATAAATTCCTCTTTGACATGGAGCCCAGACACAGATGGATCAACCTTTTTTAAATTTTTTATTATTTTCAGTCAGCGCTTATCTGGCAAAGACAGCAATTTTGTTCAGAGAACCAATGAGAAAAGTGACTTCATCTGTTTCCTCAGTGATCATTTTTGACTCTAAGCACACAGGAAGTCCTGAACAGTGATGAAGTAGAAGGAAGAAGCACCCGAACCTACAGGAGCTTATCAGTGAAGAACATACAGAGTTGCTACAGAAATGGATTGATGTGGGAAGAGATGAGAGTTCGAAGGAAACCATTGTACAAAAAGGTGCCCACTGTAATGGAGGCCAGGTGTAAAACAGAATGGATGCAGTGGTGAGAAGACTATGACACCCAAACTTGTTATTTATTTTATTATGATGTATTGGGGTGCATTTGCCCTGATTGCTACCACAGTGGCCATGGCAACAATGGGTAAGTCCAAATTTCCATGGAAGAGATCGTTTCTTTCACCCACAAGAAAGGGCATCTTGCAAAGCATTTGGGGAGTAAGGCAGTAGGGAGCTCATCCTCACAATCTGCCTGTAATATTTAAGGCTACAGACTAAATGTTCATAATATGGCATATATTTGGTAAAGCAAGGATTTTTAAATTAAGAAAAAATTTAATAGTTGGGTGCAAGCCTGGCTCTAAATTCCATTCTTAGCAGAACATGATTTATTTAGCAGAATATGTGTCAGAGTTTAATTATGCATATTTTCAGAATATGTGTTCCAAATGTAAAACATAGGATTTGTAAGCTTGTAGAATTTTTGACTAAATTTTTCCAATGGTAAAAAGGTAAGGGACACACAGGGCATAGCAACTAGTAAATGCCAAGGATAAAGGCAGTTTTGTGGTCTGAGGAGGGGAGGCATTTTACCCTGACAAAGTGTCCCCCTTCCTTACAAGGGCCACAGGATACTAGTAGCAGAATGGAATGAAGACCTGAAGGGTAAAGAGCTCTGTCTCTCTTCACTTAGAAAAGAACCAACCGTGATGGTTTCTACCAAGCTTTTAAGGGACAAGCTTGTCTCCATACATATATAAAGTTAGAATCTCTTTTAGCTATATTTCAGAAGCCTACATATTGTACCAAATTTAGTGCTGAACATCCTGTTTTTTTTTTTTTTGCTTGCCTCTGCTTCATCCAGTAGGTAGTTCTTAGGGATATAGGCCAGTTGGTTGGCATTTGGAAGGCTATTTTATGTAATCTAGGTAGTGAAGGAAAAATCATATGGTCTGGAATAACTGCTGGCAAAGCCAGCTGCACTAAGAGGTAAAGTGGAGTAGCCACATTAAGTGATGGAGACATGGGATTGCAGAGAAGTCATTGATGCTGGAGAGCGGAGATGAGGGTGCCATGAAGACCTCTGAATGAGGCTGCTGCTATCAGGTGTTATGGAATATCCTGCCCTTTTACAAGATAGTTGATTTCTTTGATGAAGAGGTAGTGATCATCAGATCTTGTGCTGAACAGGGCAGAAGGAGAAGACACCTTCGTCCAAGGAAATCAGACATTGCTTTGTCTATGCACAATCAATAACTGATTCAGGCTGCAAAATGTCTTGGGCCAGTTTTGGAATTCTCAGAGACTTTTAATGTGTAGATTAGTTGATTTCTTCGATGAAGAGGTAGTGATCATCAGATCTTCTCTCAAAAACACCATCGCTGTGCATGGACAACATTCCAGACCTCATTTCAAAGGGAAGTTATTGATTGTGCATAGACAAAGCAATGTCTGATTTCCTTGGACGAAGGTTTCTTTTCCTTCTGCCCTGTTCAGCACTATCTGTGGAGGTAGGCAGAATTAGATTCCTGTTGACCACTCTACACTGAAAAAGGTTCTGGCAAAATGTCATGGAAGGCTTACTGAGGCTGCAGTCACACCAGGGAAAGCTTGCCTTGTTCTAATGATACTTTTCATACCTTTGTTGTGCTAAAGAGTGATCATGTGGTATATACAGCATACCAATGTTTTTTAACATTACCAGTTCATGTCCCGATGTGTTTTAACCTTACCAGTTCATTTCCTCCTATTTAAATCATTATGTCTGGCTACACTGTGGTACCAATTTATTTTCTTTCTTGGTTTCTGCGGCACTGTAGCCCCTTACTGTAATTTTTTTTAAAATTAATACATTGATATGTTGGGTAGGGCTTCCTGTTTGGTAAAATTTTCTCTGTTGTGCTTGAGTGTCAGGAACAACTACATTGCACTCGGTGGATCCAACACCCCCATCCAGGACCGTGTCACTTGCCAGATGGTAGGTGGAGTGATGCAACACCTATCAATGCCCTGGCATACCTGGTCTTTGATATATGTTCACCTTCATATTGATATACTGGCCACTAATAATA